CTCTTTGGCAATATAAATGTCTCAAAAGGTGTTTACATATTATCATTGTTTTTCCTTTTCTTGGCCTGATAATACTTGGGTGACAAATGTCAGGAGGAAGGGCTCAGTTTAGGCCTATTGAGTTTAAAAACCTTTAATCCGCCTATTCCAGGTAATGAGCTTGTGCTACTGGTTTCTTGTTTGTTTCTATTTGTATTTTTCCTCATGCCTTTCTGGGTACAGTCCAATCGATGTTTAATTTCCCAAACCAGCTCTGCGAGAAGATTTACTTTATTGTATTTGTCCTGCAAACAATATTCATTCTGGAGCTTGCGCTAAAGAGCAAGATATTGAAATGCTCGAGAAGAATAAAAGATAGAGAGAGAGAAGAGAGTAAAGGCATAAGAAAGGCTTGTTGATTTGCCTGCAGCTTTGTCTCAATATGCATATTAAATAAACTTTTAAGTTCCTAGGGCAGGTTGAGATTTTAAGGGGCAGGAGAAGCAGTGGATTAGGGATCCCTTGTCCCCAGAGTGGTAACTACTAGGGGAGGAGAGAGAGAGAGACATTTGAAAGAGGAAGGTGCTTAGACCAGCCATCAGCTGCAGCCATGCTATCCTTCTGAGAAATCAAAGAGCAAGTGAGGGTGCTACGCACAAACAGCTTTAATCACTGGATAATGTCTTAAACATGACAGAGATGTAAACTCTGGGCCCAAATCTGACCTACCATAATTAGATGTGTCTCATCTAATCTGTTTATCTTTTTATAATGTGTTTTTCACCCTGATATCAGAGTATCTGGGTATGCGATGAAAAAAAACCAACCCAGCTAGCTTTTTAAACAATGGAACGTGCTACTTTGCTTTTTTATTTGCATTCTCTATAAAATAGATTATGCTGGCATAGCAGCTTTCAGGAGAGGATCTAAAACACTTTCCAGATTTTAATTTACTATTACAACAACCTGATGAAGTCACTATTCGACCCATTATGGAAAGTGGCAAATGGAGGTATAAGATATTTCACTTAATTCACCTGATAGCACACAGGTAAAGCTAATTAAAAATAGGGTGAGGACTATTTATAATTATTGCATAATTTAAAATAAAAATACCTTTAAAGTTTTGCCTAAATTTCAAATTCGAAAATTTTCAAATCAGCTCGACAGTTGGTCAACACTGTTGGGTTTTTTTTTAATTTTGAAAATGTCAGTAATAGGTTGGGTTGATCTCAGAACAGAAGTCCCAATTTCTAGTCACTAAGTAATGCTGCCTTTGTGGGGACTGTGTTAGAGACATAAGGAAAGGAAGCAGGTCCTATTTGGTTATACAGTGTTGCAGCAGATGTGAAGGAGACAGCAGAGTTAGAGGTTACACCACTGTCTGGGGAACCTGCACAAAGAGCCATATTTAACAATGGGCACTAGACTGAAAGGGTATGCAAACTGGACGCTTCCTTCATCTATGTAGAAATATTTTAAGCAGCCCATAAGCAATTATTTTACTGGATCAGGATGTAATTACACTTTTTTTTAAATGCCAGAATCTAACTAACTGGCCATGAACAGAAATAAACCCTTTTTGGTAAAGCACACAGCAGTGAAAGGGTCAAAACAGTTGTCTTAACTAAACTCTCCTGAGAACAAATGTTGTTTACAGTATATGTTTAAAATAATATTCCTGGCTAGCCAGGCTTTCCCTCAGGATAGTGCAATTACAACAGTAACAGAGGATTAATTAAAGACTCTCCCATAGGTGTTGCTAGAGATCTTGAATCGACCAAAGGGGGATACATTACCAACTGAGCACAGAGGTGAACAGACCAGAGCTGTTCAAAATAATTAGTTAGGCATAAGGGCAGGGTTGAGCTTTTTGCCTCATTTATCTGATTTTGATTAATACTTTAATTTCATTTTTTTTATGCAGAAGAAGCACGTTGGCTCCCATTTATGTGTGAGAAATGAACGAGAGAGATCAGGCCTCTGAATGCAGAAATCAATAGAGAATGAATTTATTCTGGTCCAATGTCAAGTAGGATATCTATTTTTCACACCTGGTTTCAAACCTTGGAACCCTGGAGTAGCTCTTTTACTTTCTTTTCCTTAAAAAAAAAATCCCTGCTTATACCCAATGGACAGAAGGATACAATATATGAAAGGAAGAAACTATGACATTATAGGGCATAAAAGTCAATAGGAGCTAGAATGCGATTCTTCTTTCTAGGCCCTTGATAGTCTCCCCCAAATACAAGATAATGGGCTAGATTATCACTTGCAGTCAGCCGAAACCCAAAAGTGAGAGTACGAGGTGTGACAAAGATGTGCACTGAAGGATACCAAAATGCACTGCTTGTGCAGAAAACTTAAAAAGGGGCAAGATTCTTTCCTTTTGCGCAAACATTTCTTTCCATAGCTTCTGTTTCCGAGTTCTTTATTTTGGATATAGGTGACACTGGACACATCTACACAAGACACTGACTGTGCGGTAGCCCATGACTACTGTGCAGTAGTGTTGCATGGCAGGAAGCCTGATGCAACATGACTGTACAGTAGTCACTAGGGCTGCGCGAAGCTTCGGTCCCTGATTCAATTCGGCAGAGATTTGGCCTGATTCAGTGGCTGAATCTCCAAATCCAAATCAAATTATAGGACCCTTTAATCTCTCTAAATTGATTCAGAAAAATTTGGAAATTCGGACACAGACACAACTTTAAATGTTTTTTCTACATATCTCTAGGTAGCAGGGGTTCATGACTGCTACAATGCTGGGGCGCATGGAGCATCCCACAGAAGTGTGGGGGGCTACCCAGCATGCTTGGCAGCAGACCCGGAAGTGGACCAGAAGCACTTCCAGTCTACTTCTGGTTCTGCCAGGGAGCATGCAAGGGGCTCTTCCCCACTGCCCCCCCCCCCACATTCCCTCCCAGCTCAGTGACTGGTGCCTCCTGGGTCTGGGGGGGGGGCACCTGGGGTCCCCCCACAGCTGATCACTAAGCCGGGGAGGCATGGGGGGGAGGGGGTGGCAGCACACTCCCCGGCAGACTCAGAAGTGCTTCTGGTCCACTTCCAGGTTCGCTGCCAAGCACATGGGGGCCCCCTCGCACACCTGTGGGATGCTTCATGCACCCCAGCATTGCAGCGTTCACAAGCTGTGCCCACTACCTCAAGGTACATAGAAAAAACTTTTAAAGCTGTGTCTGTGTCCGAATCACTGATTCTCCGAATCGGCATTGAATCTTCAGCTTGAGATTTGGGCAAACTGAATCAGGGACAGTGATCTGAATCAACAAATCAAATCACTGTCCCCGATTCAGGCTGAATCTGAATCCAAATCGAATAGGGCCCCTTTCACACACCCCTAGTAGTCACAAGCTACTGTGCAGTCAGCATCATGAAAAAGCCGTTCCTCACTGAAACTGCGCAATAACTAGAGTTTCTGCACAGTCAGTGTCTTTTGTAGATGTTGCCACTCAATAATAAAATCAGGGGGATACTGAATGTTTCTGGAATATAGGAAAGTTTGGGATGTAAGAAAGGGAAAACACAGATCAAAATGAGGTTCACTTGAAAGACCCTAGGTCCTGGGTGTATCCAAAATGTATATTAGGCAGGTCAGTTGTGAATGCCTAATTGTCTTTGATACACCACCTTAATCCTAGGGATGTTCTGGGCATTTCTTCCACCCTGAGCTATGCTAGAAAAGTCTCCCATTCAAATTATATGGCTTTATAATTAATTTTCTTAGTAGGAAGCCATACAAAGCACATCAAGTTAAACCCTTTTCTGATGTTAATTGGTATATAGCTGCATTGACTTCAATAGAGTTACACTGATTTATCTTATCTCAGGATCTAGCTCAGTGAATGTATGAGCTTCTGGGTGATTTAGCTCCAGTTATTTATTTGTGGAGGTGAGAACTGGTCCGAAAGGTGACTGAATCAGTTGAGGAGTGATCTTGTAAGGGACATACTAATATTTTGTATGGCTAGCATCTCTTTTAAGTGTTGCCAATGCAGAGTAAATTATATTCCATTTATTCAAGCAGCAAATATGAGGGAATCACTTAAAATGTTCTGTGCCTCCTTACTGTAGATGGAGAATAGGATGCAGTGCCATTTAATTCCTGACTGACTCCGAGATAAAGAAAATAACTGTAAGGTGATATCTCTTGGCTTTTGGACTAAACTGACTACTTACTCTGAGTTTAACTTAGAGGAGAAGTTGGCATATGTGTGAGGCAAGCCCCAGGAAAGTTGTCATGTCAGTTTTAAAGTATGAGATGGCACAAAGCCTCCCCTTTTATTGATGTCCTGGCAGTTTTAGTTCAGAGAATTCAGTCTAGGAAAAAGCAAAGAATTCACTAAGAGAAACATTAACTCAATAACTACTGTACCAATAATTTTCAAAGGCAACAATGAATAATGTGACCTGACGTAAATTCTTATGTGCTGTCACGTCTCACAATTGCCCCTTGATAAAAGAGATAGCCTTTATTGTGGATCAGAATTCATGTTTGTCCATATAAATCTACTTCTTAACTGATCGCTGAGAGTCCAATATCCTAAAAACCTCCAGTTATGTCCCATTGATAGAGTACTATTTTGTGCACATTACTAGAGCAGTGCAGACGGCACATTCTCACTCAGTAGGGTGCATGCCTCTGAGATTTTCTCAAGGCTCTGTTCATCTCTTTTTGTTCTTACTGTACATTTACACAGACCCTCCAGTGCCTTGAGGATTAGTTGCATAGCTCAATATGCGAGCAGTGTGTATTGTAATTCTGACCTACCTGCCAATATTGGAAGTACACAGCAACTAGGCACATTGTGGGAAGACTTTCACTGATCACACAGGAACCTCTAATATAGTCCCTCTTGCTAATGATTCTAGAAGACCTATGTCTGATTGAACCAAAAGCCCCGGCTGATCGAATTTATGCCGAAACTCATTCTGCAACAGACAAAACAATAGACAGGAAAGAAGGAGAACTGGTTCACTGTATTCTCTGTGTAAACTGTTGCATTTCTCTTGTTGCTATTAATATAGCTAGAAGGGCATTAGTAACTTTTGTACATATGACATTATATCCTTGCAGAAATCTCTTGAGCTGTTGTCACTAGATGGTGATGGATGTATAAGACAGGCTGCATTCTCCTTATCTGTCCCTGTATATATTCAGGATAGTGGGTTTCAGGTTAGTGTGAAACAGCTAGCTCCTTTATGCTTTGGGAACTCAGAATTGCTGCTGTCTCCCCTGAGGTTAATATGCCAATAGAGATTAATTAAGGAGCCATTTATGATAAAAAAGAGACCTAGATTTTTCCTGTTTTTATTCAAGAGAGGATCAGACAGCGGAATACATACAGCATTTAATACAATATGTTTGACTGTAGATGGATTGTTTATGAGTGAATGAAAAGACCTCCCCCTTGGTAGGGTTTCCATAAAAAGTTTAGTGCCTCATATTGATCAGACCGCCGCCCATTTTCTTTGGCATTCATTCATCTTTACCAAAAGGGAAATCCATGCAAAATACTTGGGGGGCAGAGAGGTTTCTCCATTTCCTTCCTTCAAAGTCTAGCAGAATCAATCCTCTTGTATGTCTTAAAAAAGAACTGGGGATTCTCCTTTTGGAAAAGTAGCTGAATAGTGAAAGATGCCTGGAGTGAGTTTGCCCAACCCTGTAGCTGCTCTAACTTGCCCCAAAAGCTGATTCAGCTCCAGGTAGTCTGTAGATGGAAGGAGACTTGAGTATTTTAAGAATATCTTTGTCCTTACCTTTCCTCCTGGTGTTTCTCACAGCAAAGGATCAATCCCATTCCTATTTGGCATAATTAAAAAACTAACTTCACCTTTTGTAAGAGCAGAGGGATTACCTCTGAAGCCCAAGTCCTAACTCTAGTAATTAGATATGGCCTCTCTGAGAGTTGCATATTAAGGCCCTAATCCTGCATGCCTCATCTCCACATGAAAGTGGCTTCTCATGGGAGCACTCTCATTGCAGTCAGGTGAGTGAGGCTGACAGGATTTAGTCCCCTGGTACTTTTACTTGCAAAGAAAATTCTTTACCTCCTCTCATAAGCTGTAGAGCTTTGCTGCTGTGCACTGCTAAACATCTCCTGGAGCATTTCAGTGCTGGAGGAAGCTTCTGTCTGCAGCTTTTGTTAAACCATTAAGGCACTGGGGCAGTATGAAAACCGTGAAATGCTCTGGTGCCTTAATGCCCTAAATTATCACAAGGAGTCTTATGATCGCTGCTTTTCCTTGCAGGAGGAACCTCGACAGCTGGCTAACTCTTGCCTCCATATCCCTTCTGGGAGAACACAGTGCTAGTGGCTGGGGACAGCCTTTGGACTCAGGGCACTGGAGAGCACAGATTGTGACTAGGCTTTGGGTAATGGGGGGAAGGTATGTTTTCGTTGCGTCTGCCCTACACTTTGCTCAGCTGTGTAGGAGCCCCTCAGCTAGCACTGAGCATCCTCAGTGCTGTTGTTGCAATGTGAAAGAGTAAGGTCAACATGTCTCCTTTTGCCCAAGAGAGCACAGAGCATGCTGCTCACCATTAGGGGAACATTGAGCAGCAGAACCAATGGAAGAAACAGGTAGAAACAGCAGTGTTCCTGGTAATGCACAGTTTGCCACTATTCCCATTGTCTCTGCATGATTTTTATAGCATACACATGGTGTCACAGAAAGGCTGGCTTCCTTATGGTCATACCCTCAGGTTTTTTACTTCAGTGAGAGTTTTGCCTGAAGAAGGATACAATAAAAGGAAGCATGTCAGGATTTTGCCCACAGCCAATAAGCCATTCTCCTTTGGTGAGAACAAGGCTACCTTTTCTGAGGTGTTGCACTCAAGCTGGCAGGGATGCTAAGTGCAGTGACGGTTGTTTCCCAGGCAGAAAGGTTCGGCAGGAAGCCAGTATTTAATCGCGTAACTACATCACATCGTTACTGAGCATCATTCAGTGCAACCACTTGATGCACTGCACTGTACCTCTGTAGCATAATGTGGGCTTCCTGCCAACAATTTAGAGAAAGCTGCTATCAGCTTATATAATTACTTCCCCTGATGAAATAACCCAGTGAAATGGCAGGGCTAGAACGGGGAGGAAAGGGAGAGTTATGAGACCACAAAGTTCCCAGACTTCCAAATTGTACCTATTAACCAGCAATTAAATTACTGGCCAGCTTCAAAAGTCCACCACAATTGGCACTAATTGTCAGCCTTGCTGGCAGTCTCAGCAGAGAGGCCAAGAATTAAATATACATGGAGACGGAGGTGCTCGCTAAATTCTAGGGATGGTGCCTCCAGATCAGCTTTGAGACACCTTCTCAGGGCACCTGGGGAAGCTTACATTGCTACTCCTTCTGTCATATCTGTTCCATGGATTAAAGGAGTAGTTAGGATGTCAGGGTTGCAAGTCCACCAGGTTTCACCACTACTAAAACAACTTTATTTGGAAATTCATACAACAGAGAGCTCACCAAAAGGATGAACAGGATATTTTTTGTTCTGTGAACTAGATCCTGCTTTCTTTGATGTCTGAAATGGGCAAATAATTCAGTTACAAATTAATAATAGCTGAAAATGGTTTCTTCCTCCTGCAAGTATCTGATGGCCTCCTGCCAAGTTTGAAGGCTCTTAAATGCTCACTGAAGTCGACAGGCGAGAAGTTTGCTAAGCACATTGCATAAGCCACTCTGCAAGTCACAGGATTGGACCTTACCGTACATTTCAACACCTGAGTATAGTTGTTGCTATTACTGCTATTACTGCTATAGTTGTTGTTATTACTGTTTGTACTGCAGTAACACCAAAGGACTCCAGCCCTAGATCAGAATGCCCTTGCGCTGTGCACTGTACAAGCATAGCACAAACAGATGGTGCCTGCCCCAAATAGATTATGATCTAAGTATAAGACAAGACAGAGTAAATGGGATAGATCCAGGGGAGTAAATGGAAGCCATCAGAGTCAGTATGTTTAACAGTGTTTGTGCCTAGTTTTTCAGGATACCACTGGCTGGTTTGGCAAAGGCCCAGAACTCTCAGTCCAAGTTCTGAGCAGTAAACTCATTTCCATTCATCTTCAAACATCCCATTAAAACAATTTAGTCTCATCTTGCCTTCACCTGACTTTAGTTTGCACAATCGTGATGTCAGCCCTTGAAGGATTCTGCCATTTCATTGCTATTGTGGTCAAAGAGGTACAACATTTGTCTTATCCAGAGGAATCCTGGTTTGGCTGTGTCCATATATCCATGCAGCCGAAGAGATGTGCCCTGGTGCATCCTTTTTCCACAGGCTAACTTGCAAGTTTAGTGTATGCATGCATGTATTACAAAAGCTTGTATTTTTTCCTAAACTAAGCACAAAATATGTACGTGTATATCTAGCCTGTACATTAAAAGTACCTTTTCTAATCTGGATACTCAGAAGTCTATTTAAAATATGCAAGTTGCTACTAGAAACAGATCTGAATACAGGCATTCAATTCTAGTGCTGAATTTTCCCAGGGTTTGGGAAGCCTGGGTCCAGAATTTGGCTCATGACCTTTTCTATACAACCACCTTTTCTATTACAACTTCCTACTGCCCGCCCCCCCGCCCCCCCCCCCACACACAACCCACCAACACACGCAACAATAACAAAAACACTTCATGCCCCATGGGACAATGCTTAGATTTTTGTAGTAAGTGACCTTGTATGGTACTACAATCTGAAAAAAAATTATTCCCAGTTCAATATTCATTTACTCCTTTGCTTTCAAGAAGGAAAACTTTTTTGCCTACTGACAGCAAGGGGCACAGTCCTGATAAAGAAGAAGTGCATATGTCCCAATGTATATTGATTAAAATGAAGCTTACAACATGGTTTTATGAAGGTGTTTGTATAACATAAGGCTTTCTGGAGACAGTCCTAACCATTACCTCTTTATCTATTTAAAGCAGGATGCTCTGCTATTTATTATACGTGAGCAATGCCCGAATACACTGGTACATTTATTGTTCAGGTCAATACAGTGATAGGACTTGATTTCTGCTTTCCTCATTGCTTAAGAGAGGAACATCAAATACCTGCAAAGCTTGGGTTAATGTTTTTCTTTTTGCTTCTGCCACCAGCAGGATATGTATTTTAGTCTCTATTCCCTAGACAGATAAGCCATCAAATAAATAAATTATGTTAGGGCAAAGAAGAGAGTATCAGGGTCTAGTCTCATACAGATCTCAACGTGTTTTTCAATTTGTAAAGCTAATCAACCACATTTTTTTAAAGAAAATGCTCCACTCATATTGCTTGTCTAACAGACAACTCTCAACTCTAATTAGCCAGCATGTCTTTTCAGTTCCTGTATAACACTTACCTACGGGATGCTGTTAGTGACTTTAGAATCATGTGTGTGTGTGGTATTGACACATCCTTCCTAGGATTCAATTCAAGAAAACATCTACAGGGAGCGTGGGCACTTTTTGTTACTTTAAGCAATTGTTTAAGTGCTGTCCTCAATAATGGTGGATTCCGGCACACGCTTCCATGAAACAAGAAAGCTTTTACAAGTTGTTTAGCATTAAGGCTCTCATGGTACAAGATGGTGATCTTAACCAGTCAAGTGACTTTTCAGTTTCTTAATGATTGAAACTTAAAATGTATGCACATGGAAAAGGTGCCAGGACAACCAGATGAGGCACCTTCTAGTGACAATTATCGGAGCTATGAAACTGGTTGGATTTTGTATGACATCATCTGGGGAAGTTTTTATATCAGCATTGGTAAACCAGTGAACCACTATCCACTTTTCTCTGATCATGCTTCAAGCAGTGCATGTTCTTGCAAGGTTGTAAGCACCCTCAGTTCCCACTGACATCATTGGGAATGGGTGTTGGTCCTTGGCAGCAGGTGCTGGATGTCTAGGATTATGGTGAATTAGGAGAGAAGCGTGCCCATTCTTTTATCGATCATCGGTTTTGACAACTTGCAGCACTACTGCAGGTTACAATGATGGGATACAGGAAAAGGAAGCCAATAAGGACAAATGAAGAAATATATCAGAAAGGAGGTCACATCTCTGGGGAAACCCTTAGGCAGCTGTTCATGCAGACATACATGGCAGTACATAACAGGCTCCATTTTCTTATCTAGCTCATGATATTTCTCATGGATAGAAAAGCCTGGACCAGGCTAGGGAATCCTTGGACCAGTACCTGGCTCTTCCACTTCAGGCTCCCCTCCTACCAGTCTCATTCTATCAGTGCTCATAAAGAGGCATCACCACACTCCTGCTAGGACATTTTCTGAGATTTGGTAAAAATGGACTTCCCATGTGGCAAACAAAGTCTAATTGCACCCAATTTTGCTTTTTTGTTGTTGTTGTTGTTAAGTAGGCTTTTTTATCCTCACACCTTATTTTCCATTGACATTGTATTGCACTCATTTTGAAATTATTTCATTAACATTTCAATCTTGCTATTACTGTTAACTGGATTTTGTGTTGTACAGAGAAAAATGATTATCACAGTCATGCTCACAATGCCCTGTATTCAACTACTAATGAAACATATCTTGTGGACCTTTATGTTCCACACCATCTCACAAATTATAAGCATGCCCTGTATCTAAGAGTCAGTCTTCAGGCAAAGATAATCTGATGTAATTTAAGGGCACGTGCAGACATTACACTTAACTAACTGGGGTTAGGCTGATCTAAGGAGGATCTGTACAGACATTCAGTGGGGTTAGAAATGGGAAAAAATAGCCTGTCTGGTCTAACTTCATTCACCTGAGGAAGTAAAGTAAGTTAGATCAGGAATAGGTTAGCCCAATCTAAGAAACAATCAACTAGGTGTTTTTACAGGGGCTGTGTCTGGGCTACTTAGCTCTGCTGAG